TCAGTGAAGGACCTGTGAAAGATGAGCGTGTTTTAAATCTGCAGAAAAAGATTACAGAAAAAACTATGGAGCGTAAAAAGCAGGCTGAACTCTTAAAGGTTACACCCCCGAAAACTAGTGCAGTGAGGCCCTGGGAGCCACAAAAAGTAAGCAAATAATTATTACAATAAGCAGTCATGATGGGCTTACTATTTTGAAGCTGCATTAGCAAAGTGTTAGATTAGGGTTAAATCAGCCATTCTGTTGAAATAACAACTATAGAGCTATTTTGTAGGGACCCTTAGTAGGAATCAATTCCTTGCCTTGGGGAAAGCTGTATTTCCAACTTTAAATAGTGTAATAATGGTAAACCTTTCTGAGGATGTGTCTACAGCTTTGTAATCCACTTCAAGGCCACAAAGAGCAGAGTAGTTTATCATATGTGTTATTGTAGGTCTATGCTTAAGTGCACCCCCAATCAGCAAAGAAATTATTTAAATCTTAATTCAAGAAAGTACTTGCAGTTGTTAGGGGCCCTAAGGCAGCCCAGCCTGGGCTGATTGCCTAATGGGCCATATCTGCCTGGGGGTTTGGCTGGCAACCCTAACCCAGCTAATGACTCTAGCTGGCCACAGCCTGAGCTTCCTGGCTGGCTGCTGGGAGAGCCACTTCTCCATTTAGTTCCAGCTGTAGTAACAGACTCCAGGCAGCCAATAGTTCTGGTTAAAGTCAGCTTCGGTAAGCCTCTCTGACTTTCTGGTTCCTGACCCTGCTTGGTTCTGTTCTTGGACACCAGTTTGTGGATTTTCCCTTGGATCTGGTAACTTGGCTCCTAAATCAGTCCATGTTTTAGATTACATGCCCGGCTCCTACCTTCCCTAACCACTAGGCAAGACCACCTATGACCTAGTTCATTACAGCAGACTCCCATGCCTGTCCTGAGTCACCAAGCTTATAGGTGACACAAAAGTGGGAGGCACTGACAACATACTAGAGGGTCAGAATTAAAATTCAAAAGCATCTGAAAAAGGGAGCAATAAATAATGTGAAATCCAAAGATAAATGTAAGGTGCTGCACAGAGCAGAAAAAAGCCCAAATCCAGAATGGAGGATAAACAACTTGGCGGGAGCCCTGCCAGGAAGGGTCTTAGGGTTGCAATAGATAACAATCGAACCAGCAATGTGATGTTGTCACAAGAAAGACAAACGTAGTTTTGAGCTGGATTCACAGAAGCAGCATCTGCAGGACACAGGAGGAGATACTACAATTCTGCTCAGTGCTGGTTAGGCCTCTACTGAAGTGTTCTGCCCAGTTTTGGGTAGTACTTTGTTAGAAGGATGTAAAGAAATTGGAGATATAGGAGAGCAATGAGTATGACAATGATTGGAAAGTAAGTGATACAAGGAAAGGCTAAAGGAACTAGATGTGACAACAAGGTCATGGACAGTCATGCCTAGTGGTTAAGCCCAGACTTAGGAATTTAAGTCCGGACCCAAGAGTCAGGAGAGATTCACACCCATGGTCTAGATCCACTGGTCAAGCCAGAGTCAAATTACCAAAGATGTGGTCAGGAAGAGGGAGCCAGAAATAGGAAGCCACAGGTGACACCAGGGTTAGGAACTAAGAGTCATAGTTGAGCAGACACAAGTATCAAGCAACATACCAGAGTCAAGGTAGTCTACATGTTCACCAGGAGACTTGTGCAGACAACTCATCAAGGTGTGCTCTGCTGGTTTTAAGGCCATTTGGTGCGGCATCAGGTTCCTGCCAGCACACCAGGCAATGAAGGACAGTTCATCACATCAGCAGGAATACTGACTCATTACACTGAGTGTGTTTAGTTCCAAGAAAAGCATATTAAGGTGGGGAGCATGATAGCAGGTTTTCAAATATTTGAAAGGTTGCCATAAAAGAGATGGAAAAACAATGTTCTTCTTTGGCAAGACAAAAGGTATGGAGTTTAAACTATAGAAAACCAGATTTAGATCGAGGCCCTAAAACAGTGGTCTCTAAAATTTTGATGGTGAAGACCACTTTTTGGCACCCCAGGCTCTACCATGCCCCCCCTCCACCTGCCCCGACCCCCCTCACCTGTCCCCCGCTTCCTGGACAAGCTGCCCGGGCTCTGACCCCACTCATCCAGCCCAACCCAGGCAGCAGGGGACATAGCTTAGCCTATCCACGTGCATCCTGCCGCTCCCAATCGTGGAGACCAGTCAATTGAAACCAACTGGTTGGTGACCACTGCCCTAGAAAAATTGCCTCATGATCAGAACAGGATGCTGAAACTACCAGGAAAAGTTACGGAATCTCCTTCCTATGAGGGTGTGAGAAAGAGGCCGGATAGATATGGTTTAAGAAGAGCAAAACCCTTGTAGGTGCAAGGGATTGGACTAGATCACTCTTGAGATCTCTTCCAGCCCCATAGTTCTAAGCCCTCTCTTGGGCTTAGATGTCTATACGTCATCTTTCCTTTCTTATATTGTATTGCTTGATCCCTGAATGCAAGAAAGAATGAGATCCCCTCCCTGTCTTAAAACCCAAAGCTAACATTTTGGCTTTGCTTACTCTATATAATCCCTTTGAATGCAAGGGATGATATACACTCAACCACATACACTCACCATTAAATTCATGCAAAATAGAATTACATTTACAACTTAGAAAACTGGCTACAAAGACAAATGCACTGTAAACAGGAGAGAAGTTATTCTAGCATTTTTGGCATCAATTAGATGTGAAGTTGCTTTGTCTCTGTGTGCTGAGCTTTTCCAGAGTGCTGCTTTTGTGAATCTTGTTGTTGAGTCAGCATGCCTGTAGAATTTGATACAGGGGACTTATGTAGCTGAGTGTTGATGTGTTGTGAAAAGAGTAAACTGGTGACAGAGGGAGAATATCAGGTGGAGGCAAGACTGCGCAACAATACAGATGTTGTTTAGTTTTGCTGTGACCTAACATTTTTGTAGAAAAATTTATCTGTTCAATTGAGATGAATCAAGTTGGTCAACCCACCCAGATTTGGTTCTATTCATCACCAGGAATCCCAGTTTTCCCTGATAAAAAAAATCGCAAGTTCTCTGATAAAAAAATCACAGATTCTCTGAGAACACCTCCCCCAAATCTGTAATTAAAGTGAAACACCACTATATATAGGTATCAGTTGAACACAACGTTGATATATTTACAATTTGAAAGCAAATTGGAAGCCTACCAGTGTCTCAATCACAATAATAAAATAAATTCTGAATACCATATACTTTGGTATTTGATTTGGGGGTTTTTATCATAGAAAAATTAGAGCTGCGCCCCCTGCCCCCTTTAATCACAGAATGCAGGTCCAGGCCCCTCACTCCCCACCCACAGCCTCCCAGCCTTGCTAGTGTCCTTCACTCTCCCCCAACAACTCTCTGGCCCTGCTGGTGCCCCTCACTCTCCCCCTACATCCCCATGGCCCTGTTGGTGCCCCTCACTCCCCCCCACAGCCCCTGGCCCT